TTAACACTATACAGTATCAATTTAACATTATATAGTGTCAAATTTAATTATCATTTTAGTAAAAAATAACGATATATTTAATAGGAGCAGTGGCGACTTACATTAGGTTAAATTTGACACCATAGATTTAACAGTGTACTTTTGTTTATGCCATCTTGAAATGTCAACAATTATATCTTTAAAATATATTTTTTTATTGCTGTAGGTTTTTTTCATTGGGTTAATTTCTGTGTAGTCACGCCAAGGAAAATATTTTGTGCCAAAAATGTTTTTGAAGAAAAAGTTTTAAGAACTACGTAATGATTTTAGTAGCAAGGTTTGTAAGGTTACTAAAAATATCCAAATCTGGAGTCAGATTTTCGAAATTCAAAATGTCGGATCCAATACGATGGTCAAAAATTTGTCATCGCAAAAATTTTTTTTAATTTACTCAAATTTGATCGTTCTAAAAGCCCATTTTGCGTTAATTTTATTACGGTCCAAAGTAAAAATTGCCGATTCAATGAAATGAGCAGAAAAAATTGAAATTATTCGTTAACGATTATTGGATCGGCAATTTTTTATTTGAATTGTAATCAAAATTTACGTCACATGGGCTTATAGCTCACTCAAGTTTGAACAAATTAAAAAAAAAAAAACTTTAAAGTTGATTAAAAATTAGAATGTCGAACGAATTTTTCCGCTTACGAGTAAAAGGCCACGAAAATTCGAGGCCTTGAAATTTATTATCGCTTTCAAATGGTAATTTGTGTAATTACAGTCTTTTTACAGCTGATAGCTATCAATGTTTCTGTAGACTTCATAAAAATAAAATTTTCAAAGGAAATTGGTAGCGTTACAAGGGTACGTATTGCGATGACAATTGATAACTGTCTAAATAAAAAATACGTAAGTAATAATAAATTAATTTACTGCAACGAATATTATAAGATTAAATTTTATAAAATGTTTCGAAACTTCTCATATAATGTCAAAAAATTTAGCAAGTTATGCAAGTTACGTTTCTTGTTGAAGTGTAAGTAAACTGCTTTTATTTACATTTGGATACATTTTTTATATTCGACGATAACTTGGATAATAAATTGATTTTATTTTCTTATTCAGTAACCAGTTTAATGCTTCTTTCCGCAGCGTCATTGACAACTCTTAATTTGTTTAATAATTGCAAGCCGAACTGGTAATTTTTATCAAAATTTCATTCATTGTCAGATACATCAATGTCAAGGAAAGCACTATCAATGTGATATCTCAGGGGAATTCTGATACAAATTACTAGGTCGGCTTGCATTTACCTTGATGAAAATAAAAATCAATCGTAAGTCGAATATAATGGGAGAGTAACAGAAGCGCTCATAAAATTTCTAGGAGATGAAAATTGAAACATCAAAATGTTAAAATTTCGTTTACGCTTCTATTACTCTCCTATTACATTCATTAGATTTACGTTCCGATTTTTATTTTCCTCGGGGTAGTAAAGAAATTGAGAATTGTCAATGACGCCGCGAAAAGAGGTATCAAACTGATTACTGAATACAATGACAGATTAACTTACGACGAAAATAAAAACCAATTTATTATCTAAGTTATCGGTGAAAATGTATCCAAATATAAATAAAAGCACTTCACTTAAACTGCTTCAACAAGCAACTTAATTTCTATAACTTACGGAACTTTTTAAGATTATATGAGAAATTCAAAACATTTTGTAACATTTAATTTTATAATATTCAATGCAATAAATAATTTTATTATTACTTATGTATTTTTGTTCAGACAGTTGTCAATTATCATCGCAATACGAACACTTGTAATGCTGTCAATTTCCTTTAAAAATTTTATTTTCGTGAAGTTTGTTCGTAGAAACATTGATAGCTCTATCAGCGCTGTACAAAGACTATATTTAAAAAAAGTATCATTTAAAAGCAATATTAAATTTCAAACCCTCGCACGTAGCTTTTTCCTCGTGAGCGGAAAAATTCGACCGACGTCCTAATTCTTAACTAACTTTAAAGATTTTTTTTAATTTGTTCGAAATTGAGTGAGCTATAAGTCCATTTGACGTAAACTTTGATTATGATTCAAATAAAAGATTTCCGATCTAATATTCGTTTTCGTGTTTTGATTTTTTCTACTCACTTTATTGGATCGGCAATTTTTGCTTTGAACGTAATCAAAATTTATATAAAATGGGCTCTTAGCTTATACAATTTTGAACAAATAAAAAAAACTTAAAAATTGGTTAAAAATTAGAGCTTTTCTCTGCCGATTTTGTCCACAAAGCTGTTGTTCCGGTTATTCGTGCCCCGGTGGCGCGAGTTAAAATTATTCAAAAAATCTGAAAAAAATGCGGTGTTATTTTTTGAAATATTGATCCACTTTAAAGGGTCACGATTAAATTTTAAAAGTTGTTAAAATGACAACCACTCTACACACACACACACACACACACAAAATAAGTGTATATATGCATGTACCTATGCATATGTATGTGTATACACTCTAGTTACGATTAAAATATTTACGTAATTAGAAGTAAAGTAACGACTGGGCTCTAAAAATGTAACGCTGTTACCCAATCGTTACTGAAAAATTAACTTTTACAGTAACGACGTTATTTGCCAACCACTTCTTACACGCATTGTAGACCGAACCGTTGGTTGGCAACCGGTTCTATATAAAAGCAAGCGCAACTAATGCTGCTAAACAGTACATCATCGAACTTATATTCAGGATATCATCTTGGACATCTTGGACATAATATAACATCGATTGCTGATCTTTCAATAAGCTAAGGAAATGTTGTTTTATTTATTATTGAGTAAGAAAACTATTTTAAATATTTTGTATTTAATGCGAAGTGTTATTTTTATATCAATTAGCACTAATATCTCAGTCGTGTTGAATAATTCTTACAGTTGCTGCATCGCCATTTGTCATTACCGCGTTTCCACAAGTAAGTAAACATTCTTTAATATGCTCTTTTGTAGGAGAGAATATTTAAATGATTTTAGACATTTTTGCATCCGTTGTCAAGAAGTATTATCGTGTCTTGTACTAATTGTAAGCACAATAATTAAGTGATGTTACAAACACATCATTTATGAGTCGAATAATTCTTAACAGTTAGGATTTCTTGTATGTAACGATAATATCTTTATTTTACACGCTTTGTGAATAGAGAGATTAAAACTAAAGATGATCGCACTCTCATACTTGTTTATAGTTTAATCTTCTGAAATCAATATCGTAAACTTATCTGTATAATTTTATTGAAAATAATATTTCTGTATTTTCTAAAAAAGCGTCGAGGATCTAATATTTGAAATGTAATTTGATAAATGTATGTGTGTATATCACAGAATTTGGATAACACATTTGTGGAGATAGCTCAAGTAGAGCCAGTGGCTTCCAAATCCATTAAAAAACAAGAAAATGCTGCATTATCAAAAGGAAACGACTATGAGGAATGCATAGCTAACTGCTTTGTAATATATATTATAATTCTTTTCTTACTACAATTGACGTAACTTTATTCAAAACAATTTTTAATTCAAGAGAAAATTTTGTTAAATAAATTTTTAAAATAATCTGAATATTCAATCTCTCTTTCTCTCTCTCTCCCTCTTTCTCTCTTTCTCTGTAAATATCATATTCTTATCATAGGTGACGACTGAATACAATCCTGTTTGTGGTACGGACAACGTTACTTATTCTAATCCAGGAAGTCTAAACTGCGCGAAAAAGTGTGGGAAAGGTGAGATGCTTCATAAAAATTTTGATATTTAACGATTGTATTTATTTTGTTACATGAAAGATACATTTTATTAACATTACAATAATTTCAAAAAACAGTAATCTCGAATTTTTACTTTAATGCTAAAACGGTCAAGCTAATTATTTAATATTTTTTATTATGTAAGGTAAATATACTAGTTAGTGAACAGTTAATGAACATCATGACTCAATTATTGGACGCAACAACAAAAATTTTAAATATTAACTCTTACCATACCATCTACAATTTGGTGCCTCATCCATACCATCAAGGATCACTTCAAATCTCTTCGTTTTTTCACCTCTTCAAAATAATAAAAAAAATCTTTAAAAATTCACCAACATACTTTCAACTTTCTAAAATAAATATTGACTCTTTATTTTGGAAAATAATAAAATGTAGTGTAATTTATAATTACCGAAAGACTCAAAGAAACTTGCACGAACAGGAATCGCTCGGTTACTAGTTACCCATATTAATACGGTAAGGGTTAAGCTTCTAATGATACGTACAATTCTAAATAAATTCGTTATTTATAGACTTAATAATAATGAATATATTTAGAATCGTATATATCATTAAAATTAATATTTAAAATAATTAATTAAAGTTTAATTTTTATCATTTTATCTAATAATTGGGTTATGTCCACTAACTGATATTTATCTTGGATTGTTTTTATCAGATCTTTTAAATTATCTTTATTACTATTATTGCTTAGTGCTCATACTTGAAGTTATATCAAATATATTTATATTGTAAATTGAATATATTAATGTACACTATTATATTATATTTATATTTATAAATTTTTTTGTATATACATTAAGAAAAAAAGAAGTTTTTAATCTAAATCTAGACAGGGAAGTTTTTCCTTTTTATATCGTTAAGATAGGAGGAAGACAATTCTTTTCAATATTCTCGATTGTTCGAGCATTAATAAATTTTGCAATAGCAAAAGTAGATACTTACCGAACATATATATTTATACGTTTAACAATCTTCGTCCTATAAACTATATACAATAATAAAAACTTCTTTGCATAATTACAGTACAAAATAGTGTAATTACGAACACATTACAATGCGTAACATGTAATAATTTATATTTACAGACGTGGAATTAAATTATTATGGATGCTGTTCAACAAGTCGAACTGGATAACAAATGATTTACATTATACAATACAATTTACGGAAATAAATATTTTGATAAAATATTGGTAAATGTAAGAAAAATATTTATACATTATAATATTTACATTTTTGTGTCACAATTTTTATGTCGCAATGTTAGGCCTACTGAATTGTTATTCCTTTTGTAACATCCTTTATTAATTTGTTATTATTAAATTTCGGGAGTCTTATTATTGTGTTCATTATTAATTTATTATTTTTTCCTCCAAAAAATACACAACTTTCCCAATTTTTCCATTAATGCTGTAAATCTCCGCAATCTATTAACAAAGTGAATCGACTTGCTCACAGAAACGGCACAAAATACAATGAATATTTGTTTTACTTTCGCAGTCTTGATAATGTCACGTCCAAGTATGGTAATAGTATATATACCGAAGTTCTACATAAGAACAATAGCCTTCGCTATATTAGCACGTACAAGTTAAATTCAATTTGAATGCAGTTAGATCTTGCAATTTGCAGAAAGGCAGATCCATTTATACACTTACATATGTTGTGGCACTGATCCTGTAAATACCCATCCCGATACGTCGATGTTCTGTAAACTTGTGGTCTTCCCCTTTCGAGTCTTAACAACGGCCACCTGCCAATGATATCATTCATTGACAAAGGCCGTACAATATTACACGAATACATAGTATCGTTTCCATGTGATTAATAAATATGACATATAGGTGAAGATAATAGCGATTTTTTAAATGCTGATAAAATATTGTGTGACATTATTTTATTCTATCGCTTTGCTTCATTATTTTTTGTTTATACAATGATAAAACCGGCGTGTTAAATGTTACAGATTTATTTACCAATTTCATGTGTTAATAATGTTAGATATTCTATTACATTTAAAATGTATGCATTTTTAACTTGTAATTACTTTACGTTATGTAAAAACTACTTACTGAATATTTATACATACTTATATTAAGTTTATGCATTGTATATTCATTAAAATATATTTCTATTATAAATATATTAAATTAAAATATAACATTTACATTATATTAAATTAGGAATTAATACTTCATTTTTTAAATATTTACTTATTATATTTTAATATTACTGTTTTCATCAAATACACTGGCCGACGTAGTTTTGTTGTTTGAATAAAGGTAGCATTTTCGTTATATTTTTGTACGCTGAACACGAATCCTGCAACGAAATTGCTCTATCACGTCAGGTTTTTGAAAAAAGTGAGGATAAAGGTGTTAAAATTAATGTTTTTTTGACATATTTGTGATTTTTTTGTTAGCAATCAAGTAAATTTTTTTCTCTACTTTCGTTTACGCCATCTTGAAGTGCCAACATTTATATCTTTAAAATATATTTTTTTATTGCTGTACATTTTTTTTCAACGAGTTAATCTTTGCGCAGTCACATCAAGGAAAACATTTTGTGTCAAAAATGTTTTTGGAGAAAAAGTTTTAAGTACTGCGTAATGATTTTAGTAGCAAGAGAGAGAGAGAGAGAGAGAGAGAGAGAGAGAGAGAGAGAGAGAGAGAGAGAGAGATTTGTAAGGATACTATACATACCCGAATCTGAAGTCAGGTTATCGAAATTTAAAATGTCGGATCCAATACGACGGATCAACAATTTGTCATCGCAAAAATTTTGTTGAACAGCTCGCAGTGTCCAGGGCAGGTCCACAAATACGACAGCGATGTAAAGTCGCAAGAATGTAAATACTTTATTTTATTGTTAGATTATAGCTTAATACAGCAGCGTGTGTAACGTATACGACGGTGCGTGAGTTGGAAGTTGAAAATTACACGGAGAGACAAGCAGTCGCGAGAGTCGACCCAAGATGCAGGAATCGATAGATCGGTTCCCGGCTCGCAACCCAGTAACTTCCCCGCGAGCGGTGGAGAATTTGCGATATTACCAACAAATTTTTTTTAATTTACTCGAAATGAATGTTCTAAAAGCCCATTTTGCGTAAATTTTTTTACGGTCCAAAGTAAAAATTGCCGATTCAATGAAGTGAGCAGAAAAAATTGAAATTGTCCGATAACGAATATTGGATCGGCAATTTTTTATTTGAACTGTAATCAAAATTTACGTCAAATGAACTTATAGCTCACTCAATTTCGAGCAAATTAAAAAAAACTTTAAAATTGGTTAAGAATTAGAACGTCGAACGAATTCTTTCGCTTACGAGTAAAAGGCCACGAAATTGCGAGGCCTTGAAATTTAATATCACTTTCAAATGGTAATTTGTTTAAAAATAGTCTCTTTACAGCTGACAGTTATCAATGTTTCTGTAGACTTCATGAAAATAAAATTTTCAAAGGAAATTGGCAGCGTTACAAGGGTACGTATTGCGATGACAATTGATAACTGTCTAAATAAAAAATACGTAAGTAATAATAAATTAATTTACTGCAACAAATATTATAAGATTAAATTTTATAAAATGTGTCGAATTTCTCATATAATCTCATAAAGTTTTGTAAGTTATGCAAGTTAATTATATATAAATAACGGCCAAAGACGATCGAATAATAAGATGTTGAAGTATAATAATCTCGTATAATAATTTTAATGTTAAAATTACAATAAATCGCGCGAAACTAGTTTCGACTTTACAAAGTCTTCATCAGTCGCAATAATTTACATAAAAGTTGTTAAAATATTACATAATCTCAAAATCCGGAATCAAATATAGTCAACACATAAAATTCTCTGTAGTCATCTTTAAAAATTAGTTCTCATATTCTTGTTAACCAATATGTGTCTGTTATATGTTGTATAACATGCAAACAATTATTAATTATTTCATCATTTTGTATTACGGCAACATCTGTTAATATATATAAGATTTGAGAATAATGAAAAATTATTATAACTAGGATTCAATTAAATTTAAACATAGACAGTATGCAAAGTAAAAGCGAACTTACAATAATTGTTAAAATTTATGATACTATTCTTAATGGCAGTCGTATGTAAATTCACAAGCAAATTAACATAATTGTCAAGATTAATGCTTCTGGTCTCAATGACAGTCTTATGGCGAACAAATTTAGACTAATGTCTTCTGACATCTAACAATAAATAAATAAGAGAACAACAAGAGAAAAGCAAGGTCACAACACTCAATAATCATTATAATTGTTATTATTGATTCTGTCAAGAATCTTAAAATACGATTTATTTAAAAGCACAGTGTCTTCGTTGGAATTAATACTATTGGTCTGCGCCTTAATATGAATCATTTCTGATATTAATCGCTTATAATAATGACACTCTCTACTTAGAATTTTTATATTGTCCCATTCAAACATGTGGTTATATTCTAACATATGATCCGTAATAGCTGAATGCTTAGATATATCGAAGCTTAACAATATTCTAATAACGCAATATAATGATGTGTATGAAAGGAGGATCATATCTTTTCCATATATTAAAAATGCTTCAGAGATTGTAGCCTCATCTATAGATAAAAATGAATTCATGATTGGATTTCAATGTCTTAATAAACTTAATAACATTATAAAGAGACATAAAGATGGAGATCCAAATGTTTGCAATAATAATGTAATGTAACAGGATTAATTGTAAATGTTGTAATGCTTCATATGTAGCCCAAACGAAGAGGCAACTAAAGACTGGAATAACGGAATATGGAAAGAATTTGAATCAAGTTATATCTAAGCATTCAGTTATCACAGATCATATGTTAGAGTATAATCACACGGAAAAAAAAATTTGCTAAAACAGCTAAAAACTTCATTGATTTGGCAAATCTACAGCCGTTATATAGGAGCCAGTTTTCTATGTTAAAGTAGCAAAGTTATGTAGCTGAATTAAATTAAAGATTGTAACTAATAATATTTGTTCTAATAGCATAGCAAATTTGTTAATACAGCAAAGATAACTTTCTGAAAAAATGAATCTATTATAAAAGTCAACATTTGTAACAAAACATGCTAACTAAGATAGCGCATACTTTTGCTGCTATAATGAAGAAACTTATTACATTAGCAATCTTCATTGTAGCAAAGAATTAGTTGCTCTAACAATGCAAGTTAATTAAGACAACAAATTCTGATAAATACATGGTTTTTATTTTAATACAATAAAAAAATGCAATTCTTGAATTATTAAATAATACAACAATAAACGTTTATACAATTTTTATTTAAAGTGTTACTCAAACGTATTAATATGGATCTTCATAGTACGCAGAATGCAGTTGCAAGGTTAGAACCTAATCTAAACTAATTATACGTCACATATAGGCTCTGGACATAAACACAGGACGTACTGAAGTTAAATTTTCGCGTTCTGCGTTTTGCGTCTTACGGCCGAAAATATGTTACGCAAGTCACACTATGTCTATAATTTTGCAATTTGAGACTCGCGTTCAACATGCTATGTAGATTAAAATATGTATATTGCAAATATATTAAATTAATTATTTCAACTAAACTAATTTGTTGCAATAACAATGATAATATTACCAAAGATGAGTTTGTTATATGAGCATACTGATGACTGCTTACAGACATAATTTCTTTGTTGAACCATCAAATTTTCTTAATTACAGATGTTGAATTCGCGTAGCAAGCTATAGCTTTGCTGAATCATCAAATCAATTTTTTTCCGTGCACATGTTTGAATGGGACAATGTAAAAATTCTAGATAGAGAGTGTCATTATTATAAGCGATTAATATCAGAAATGATTCATATTAAGGCGCAGACCAATGGTATTAATTGCACCGAAGACACTGTGCTTTTAAATGAATCGTATTTTAACATCCTTGACAGAATCAATAATAACAATTATAATGATTATTGATTGTTGTGCCCTTACTTTTCTTTTGTTATTCTCTTATTTATTTATTGTTAGATGTCACAAGACATCAGTCTAAATTTGCTCGCCATTTCGCGTAAGACTGTCATTGAGACCAGAAGCATTAATCTTGACAATTATGTTAATTTGCTTGTCAATTTACATACGACTGCCGTTAAGAATAGTATTATAAATCTTAACAATTATTGTAAGTTCGCTTTCACTTTGCATTACTGTCTATGTTTAAATTTAATTGAATCCTAGTTATAATAATTTTTCATTATTCTCAAATCTTATATATATTAACAGATGTTACCGTAATACAAAATGATGAAACAATTAATAATTGTTTGTATGTTATACATTATATAATAGACACATATTGGTTAACAAGAACATGAGAACTAATTTTTAAAGATGACTACAGAGAATTGTATTTGTTCACTACATTTGATTCCAGATTTTGTGATTAAGTAATATTTTAACAACTTTTATGTAAATTATTGCGACTGATGAAGACTTTGTAAAGCCGAAACTATAGTTTCGCGCGATTTATTGTAATTTTAACATTAAAATTATTATAAGAGGTTATTATATTTCAACATCTTATTATTCGCTCGTCTTTGGCCGTTATTTATATATAATTTTATTGTGTGTTCAATAACAAGTAGGATCTGTTTTTATTTAATTTTATGTAAGTTAAGTTTCTTGTTGAAGCAGTTTAAGTAAAGTGTTTTTATTTATATTTGGATATATTTTTTTGTATTCGACGATAACTTGGATAATAAATTATTTTTTATTTTCTTATTCAGTAATCATTTTAATACTTCTTTCCGCGGCGTCATTAACAGCTCTTAATTTGTTTACTAATTGCAAGCCGAATTGGTAATTTTTATCAAAATTTCATTCATTGTCAGATACATCAATGTCAAGGAAAGCACTAGCAATGTGATATCTGAGGGGACTTCTGATACAAATTACCAGGTCGGCTTGCAATTACCTTGATGAAAATAAAAATCAGGTGTAAGTCAAACATAATGGGAGAGTAACAGAAGCGCTCATAAAATTTCTAGGAGATGAAAATTGAAACATCAAAATGTTAAAATTTCGTTTACGCTTCTATTACTCTCCCATTACATTCATTAGATTTACGTTCCGATCTTTATTTTCCTCGGGGTAGTAAACAAATTGAGAATTGTGAATGACACCGCGAAAAGAGGTATCAAACTGATTACTGAATACAATGACAGATTAACTTACGACGAAAATGAAAAACAATTCATTATCCAAGTTATCGGTGAATATCAAAAAATGTATCCAAATGTAAATAAAAGCACTTCTCTTAAACTACTTGGAACAAGAAACTTAACTTCCATAATTTACAGAACTTTTTGAGATTATATGAGAATTCAAAACATTTTGTAAAATTTAATTTTATAATATTCAATGCAATAAATAAATTTATTATTACTTATGTATTTTTTATTCAGACAGTTGTCAATTATCATCGCAACGTTATACGAACTTTTGTAACGCTGCAAATTTCCTTTAAAAATTTTATTTTCATGAAGTTTATTTATAGAAACATTGATAGCGCTATCAGCTGTACAAAGACTACATTTAAAAAAAATATCATTTAAAAACAATATTAAATTTCAAAACCTCACTTTTTCCTCGTGAGCAGAAAAATTAGCTCGACGTTCTAATTCTTAACTAATTTTTTTTTTTTGTTTGAAATTGAGTGAGCTATAAGCCCATTTGACGTAAATTTTGATTATAATTCAAATAAAAGATTTCCGATCTAATATTCGTTATCGTGTTTTGATTTTTTCTACTCACTTCATTGGATCGGCAATTTTTACTTTGGACGTAATCAAAATTTATGTAAAATGGGCTCTTAGCTCATAAAATTTCGAACAAATAAAAAAAACTTAAAAATTGGTTAATAATTAGAGCGTCCCTCGGCCGAATTATGTCCACAAAGGTGTTGTTCCGCTTATTCGTGTCCCGGTAGCTCGAGTTAAAATTATTCAAAAAATCTTAAAAAAAATGCGGTGTTATTTTTTTGAGATATTGAACCACTTTAGGGAGTGTCACGATTAAATTTTAAAAGTTATTAAAATAACTACCAATCTACACACACACACACACACACACACACACACATAATATATATATGTGTATGTGCATGTACCTATACATATGTATGTATATACGCTTAGTTACGAGTAAAACTTTTACGTAAATAGAAATAAAGTTACGATAAAACTAGTGAAATCGTTATCATTACCCTAAAAATGTAACGTCGTTACCCAATCGTTACCGAAAAATTAACTTGTAACAGTAACGACGTTACAACTCAGTAAACACAGGTATATCTCAAACATGTAACTCATACGTGATTTTAATTTTTTGACTCGTAACGGTTATGTCAAAAGTTACATAAATTTACGGGGAATGTTCTCAAATTTGTCGTCCCATTTTATCTGTAGTAGTTACATAACAGTGATATCGACGACAAGGTTGATATATAACAATCATTGAGGCGAAATGCATACGTAACATTTATACAATGCAAAATTTATCACTGTGACATCACAAATGGGTAAAATTGTTACTTATTGACACTGACCTGATTTCTTTGATTTGAAGAAGTTTTTTGTTTATTTCTTGCTATTAGAATTAAATAAATAGTTTATATAGTTTTGCAACTTTTTTTAAATGTGTGAGAGAAATATATTTTTAATACGCAACAAAACATTTTCTTAAATAAAAACTATTTTTTTATGTAATAAAAAGATTACGGTTATATCTTAACAAAAAAGTAATTTTTTTGTTGTTATTTACTTTTATTTTTTCAATTCAATTTATTATTTACTTTCGCATACCATATTCTTATTAACTATAAAATTAATTATTGAGAAACATACCGCATCGCTGCCAAGATTTAAACCCACGATCCCTAAGAACAGTATAGCCTAATAACACTTACGCTGAGCTAATCGCACGATTGTGATCGAGTCATTGCCAACGTGACTTATACCTTATTGTTTATACCATTCTTATATTAATTTCGTGCTTCTGCTGACAGTTTAATATTATTAATATTTGTGGGGATTACGTGGAAACGAAATAATACGCTGGTATTTATTCACTTATTGTTAGTTAGAAAATAATAATCTATCCATGTTAAATACTTATCCTTTATATTTTTATACCTACCTATAAAGGAAAAATCGATATGATAATCGAATATATTATTGTCTAACTGCATAAAAATATTTAACTGATAGCATAATAGAAGCAAACTATATAGAATTTAACCTATGTTTTTAATAAACTTTATTTGCTAGCGATACTGATTATTTTATTTCTTTATTAACGAATAATCACAGAAATAATTTGCAATAGTACTTACTGATCGATTGTTTCCTTCAATCTATCACATTTATTGTTCCTTGATTTGTTTATATAACAAATTCTCACTTCTCTCAATTCTTTAAACAAATGTAATCACTGTGAAAAAGTGACATATAATTTATGAAATTAGGTTACATCGTAGTAATGTAATTTTATAGAAAAGTCCAATCTTCTAATTTTAGTGATATAACTGTTATAGATTACAGTATACATTCTTGCAGATGTAACCAAAACATGTATAATTTACATCTTTTTTCATTATGGCTTTGTGCTGTAAATGTATTTTATATTTGTTATGTCTCATTCATAGAATGGTATATGGATATAATTTAATTACATTTAATTTACATAATTATGTTATGTGCTAAATATATAACAAAGACATGTAACAAAATTATCATATTTCAGAATATATTGTTCACGCCATAAAGCTGTATTGTTGTTATTAATCAGAGATATCTCAATAAGGACAAAAAAATTATATAACAGTGCCAAGTCATGTTTGCTAAGAAGTAACGCGTTACTTGTCAACCCCTTCTTACGCGCATTGATAGAACCGTTGGTTGGCAACCGGTTCTATATAAAAGCAAGCGCAACTAATGCTGCCAAACAGTACATCATCGAACTTATATTCAGGATATCATCTTGGACATCTTGGACATAATATAAAGTCGATTGCTGATCTTTTAACAAGCTAACAAAATGTTGTTTTACGTATTATTGAGTAAGAAAACTATTTTAAATATTTTGTATTTGATGCAAAATGTTATTTTTATATCAATTAGCACTAATATCTCAATCGTGTTGAATAATTCTTACAGTTGCTGCATCGCCGTTTGTCATTACCGCGTTTCCACAAGTAAGTAAACTTTCTTTAATATGCTCTTTTGTAGGAGAGAATATTTAAATGATTTTAGACATTTGCATACACTGTCAAGAAGTATTATCGTGTCTTGTACCAATTGTAAGCACAATAATTAAGTGATGTTACAAACACAT